TGGAGGTGAACCTGGAGAATGGGATCCTCTTTGTGAACGAGCGGATTGACCGGGAGGAAGTCTGCGAGGCCAGGGGGACCTGCCTGCTTCACCTGCAGCTCCTCATCGAGAGCCCACTGGAGCTCTACCGCGTTGAGGTGGAGGTGCTGGACATCAATGACCACGCGCCCATCTTCCCCTGGCAAGAGTATGTGCTGGAGGTGGCTGAGTCCGCCGTGCTCGGTGCCCGCTTCCCTCTCGAGAGTGCCCAGGATCCTGACGTGGGTACCAACTCGGTGCACACCTACCGGCTCAGCCCCAACGGTTTCTTTTCACTTGAAGTGCAGACGCGCAGTGACGGCAGCAAGTTTGCAGAGCTGGTGCTGGAGCGCGCTCTCGACCGTGAGCAGCAAGGCGTGCACCGGGTGCTGCTCACCGCTCTCGACGGCGGTGTCCCCGAGCGCTCAGGCACAGCTCACATCCTCGTCATGGTGCTGGACGCAAACGACAACGTGCCCACCTTTGACCAGCCCTCGTACGGCGTGAGCCTTCCTGAGGATGCCCCTGCCGGTACCCTGGTCATCCAGCTCAATGCCACTGACCTGGATGAGGGCCCCAACGGGGAGATCGAGTACTCCTTCAGTGGGCATGCACCACTGCAGGTCCGGGAGCTCTTCCACGTAGAGCCCCGGAGTGGGCAGGTGCTGCTGAAGGGCCCTCTGGACTATGAGCGGGCAAGCCTCCATGAGCTCTATGTGCAAGCCAAGGACCGTGGACCCTCGGCTGTGGCCGTGCACTGCCGGGTGCTTGTGCACCTCCTTGATGTAAATGACAATGCGCCAGAGGTGACCCTCACCTCTGTGTCCACACCCGTGCTGGAGGATGCCCCGCCAGGCACCATCATCGCTGTCATCAGCATTTTGGACCGGGACTCTGGGGACAACGGGCGTGTGAGCTGCGAGGTCGGCCCCGATGTACCCTTTGAGCTCCGCTCCTCCTTCCGCAACTACTACACGCTGGTCACCACGCAGGCGCTGGACCGGGAGGCTGTGCCCGAGTACAACATAAGTATCACAGCACGGGACATGGGCTCCCCCGCCCTGCTGACCCGCAGCACCCTCACCGTCCCGGTGTCGGATGTGAACGACAATGCCCCACGCTTCCTCCAGCCCTCCTACAGCGTCTACGTGATGGAGAACAACGCGCCAGGTGCCTCCATCTGCTCTGTCAGCGCACTGGACCCCGACTGCCAACAAAACGCCTACCTGTCCTACTCCATTGCTGATGGGCACATCCATGGCATGCCTGTGGGCACCTATGTGTCTATCAACTCGGACAGTGGGCACATGTATGCCCTGCGCTCCCTCGATTATGAGCAGATCCGCAGCTTCCAGATCCAGGTGCAAGCACAGGACGCGGGTTTCCCCCCACTCAGCGCCAACGTCACCGTCCACATCTTTGTGCTGGACCAGAATGACAACGCTCCAGTCATTGTTTCCCCCATGCCGCGCAACGGCTCCGTGGCCACCGAGCTGGTGCCGCGATCAGCTGGGCCTGGCTACCTTGTGGGCACTGTGTCGGCGGTGGATGCGGA